CGTACTTGGTAAAGTGGACTTGTTTGATTCGTTTCTGTTTGCGTTAAGATCAGGGTGTTAATGCTAGGGGAGTTATTTTCATGAAATTAATTCATTAACTGGGGGTTCACGTACTGCTTGGCTCACCTATATGTGTACTAGCTCTGCCTTCTACCACAGTTTCTTGGGTTTTTTGAGCAGGTATGTCTTCTATATTCAGTTGCTCATTTTCAACTTTAGTTGAATTTTGCTATTCTATTGTCACATTGTCATCCTCATTTTTATTACTTTGAACATTTTCCTCGTCCGATAACGGTTCAAGACTACTGGTCCTCTCTCTTCCGATTGTAACAAGCGGTTTGAAAAATTCCATCTGATGTTCGAGACGCCATTTTTCCCTTTTAAGCGGCTTGTCCTGATTTCTGCTCCTCAGAGATTTTCTGATGCACTCCCTAAGGGACTTCCATTTCTTTTGGCATTCAGCACCTGTAAATAATAAAGTTATATTACAGTACTATTAGACAATATTGTTTTAATTTACTAGCCAGAATAAGTCATGCTTCCCCTTTTATCAAGGAGGCTGTCATTACTTCTTTTATGTCACACATTTTTAGGGGGAAAATACAAGTGAAAGACTGATGAAGTACTAAATTCAGTGTTATCACCAATCTCGGTAGTGTTCCTCCCCTCCCCCCACCCACTGGCAGACGCGAGTGGAGGAACGTCAGCTGCCTTCCGCCCTCCCTTGCCGAGGTGCTGTTCAGGGGTTCCGATAAGCACGTTTATAACTGAGTTCATTACCAACATTAGCATTGTTACATTATATGATACATTTTCACTCTATGCATTATTGGTACTAAAAAATACCCCCGCCGCAGAAAACGTGCAGACTAAGCTAATTTCCATTTGCCTGATAGGATTTAGACTAAAATGTTGCCTTCAAAATGTCACATTTATTCCCCTATTTAAATATAATTAGTTTAACAAGTACTTGGGTTTTCTGAAACAGGGACGGTAAAGGTTTTTTTTTTTTTGTTTGTATGAATCGAAACCGGTGGTGTTTTTGGTCTCTGGGGACCTCAAAATTAAAAAGTAGATTGGTTAGATCAGGCATGATTTATTGTTTGTTTTACCGTATTCAGTTTTTTTTTTTTATTTCAGCTTAACCTAACAAATGAATAGTTTTATTAATACTTAAGAAGTCAAACGGGGTGAAACCTGTGGGTAATAGCTAGTTCCCTATATGGGAAATTTGCTAAATGGTGATACATTTGGGTTTTGTATTGTTTGTAGCCTTTCTTATTTACTAAAATACTGCCTTATTAGTAGTATTAAAGTTAGTAAAACCAAATACAGAAGTATTGTACATAGTATTTTCAAGGTTGATTGATATTTGGATGGTTAGTAAAACAATACTCATACATCAATGCAAACCTTATTTGTTCTATATTTTCATATGCAGGAAATGAACGAACCTATCAAATAGGAGTGTAATACTAATCCAGTAAATGCTAATATAGACAGTTTGAATGTTCTTCTTATATCTGTGACGGATAAAAGATGACAGTCCTGACAATATCTGACAGTTACTCTTGGCAACAGAATGCAGATAATTTTTACTATACTCTAGGACCGTAGGTGTTTACAACGATATTGTAAACTAGTCGGGAAATAGTGACATAATCATTTTATAGTGCAACAACAGGTTCATTCCATGCCATATGAAGTTTAATTTTAAAAGTGGTTATTGAAAATGACCTGTGTCAATTTAGGATCAATATTTTTCAAGGTTTCAGGCATAAATGTAGGAAAAAACGATAGTAAAACAAACATCAAGATGAAGACTATTAAATGCGCTTTCATAGCTCTTGTTTTTGTCCATTTCTTCTCCGATGTATACGACTTTAGGACACAAAAATTCTGAAGTGGTCATTATTATAAAACTGCAACTGTAGTGTTAGTGGCGACATCTTACATATTGATGTTTTTTATGGTGACAATACGGTCTGGTTCAATCAATCAGATGCTACGCACACTTCAGACCATTTATGAAACTTACCCGATCAATAAAATTAAAGAACGAGCAATATTTTTGTAAAGGTGATTGTGTTTATTGGATTTTGGCTATCACAAATTTCGTTTGAGGTCTATCGCTCTTTCAAAAGTCTCTCTTTTCAAACTTATTTAGCATGGGCTACCCCGATGCCTTACTACCTTTTGTTATGGGCTTTTGTATACAACCAATTGCTGGTTGAATCAATGGAACTTACTTCATTAAAATTAATCAGACTTTTGATCGTGCAGGAAGGAAGTGAACTTATTCCAGAACCAGAAAATAATATACAAAAACAAGAGTATACAAAACATCCACTGATTCGAGATGCCGTTCACCTCCATCATGACACGAAGATAACTCACCTTCTGGGCTATCGAGTTTTCTTCTTACCTAAAGTTCTCTTCTTGTTGGTTCGAGCGTGTCATGATTCATAGTGCTAAGGATTTGTATCCAGAAACGCCACAAATATTTTTAGAATAGAATAGAATAGAAATGTCTTTTATTTGAAGCGGTTTTCAGTACAAAAATACACTGCTTTTCAAAACAACTCAAGTCAGGTACAAAGTCTGCAATACAATAATAAAAGAGAAGGAACAAATAATCTTCTTCCAGCTAGACATTGAATTGATGTCTGTTTTGTTCGACTCTTACGTATTAGTTGCTATGACTTTGTTCACCAAATCTTAGAGATGTATTTAAAAGAATACAACGATATTGAACTATCATTTATTACATCTAATGAAGAAGTTTGATATTCGTCAGACATTTAGATGGAAGTGACAAAAAAAAACATACCTAAGAATTTGAGTGAGTCTTAGTTATCTGATACAACCTAGGTTAGCCTTTGTAAAATGATGATTACAGAATAAACATTGATTACTGAATTTCGTAGTGTAGTAAATTAATTATTTCAAAACATTTTTATTAATAAAAATAAAATTTTAAATCTCCTTGCAATACACGTTTAGTTAAGATTAAGATAAATACAAGACCTGTCTTTTCTACGATAGAAAAATCTTCTACCACATATTACTTATCATGATTACAATAATGGAATTTGCCGATTTAATTTAAGTACAGTATTGACCTCTTATGTTGAAGATTGAAGAGTATATGCTCATAGATTCACATAAAATGTCAAATGTTAAATTAGTTGAATATTAATCGATTGTTGGATAATCTGCATACATCATAGTTGATTTAACTATTACAACAATGCCATTAATCTCTGTTGTTGTGAAATCAACCCAAACAGTGACGGGAACAGAACATTAATCACTGGAAACAGCGACAACAAATCAACGGTTACAAGTGTCGCTGTCACTGAAACTGAATGACTGACTCACTGTTTCTGTTTATTGTTTTTAACAAAAACACTTTATTGAACTGTGGTGGAAAATAACAATTTAAATTCAACCGGTAAATTTATTAGTTTTCGTTGGAAATCAAATATAGGGTGATACCGATCGCGTCAGTAGATTTTGTTTCATAGAGAAGTGGTACTCAATAGATTAGCTTACTCAATTCGTTGCTGTTTTGGAATTTTAAAGTTGTAAGAGTTTTAACGTGATACGAAAAAAGGATTTAACATAAACTTGTATTTTTTTTTTGTATAAAATTTAATTTTCCGTCATTACAAAAGTCTAAGACAGTAGTTACACATGTAATAATTGTAGTGAAATTACACACACACACACACACACACACACACACACACACACACACAACGTTTTCCGTCTGTCAGTGTGTATGTATTTTTTACATAACTTCCCATAACTTTGGGACCACTACAGAGAACTTCAAACTTGGTACGTGTAGGAGGACTGATAGGACCTAGCTTTTCGCAAAGCATCAAGTTAATACTTTGCATAATTTCAAATTGGTGGCCATTTTTATTTTTTATAACTAAACAACCAAAGGATTTATTTAAAAGTTACAAATAGCAAAAAGGGTGGACATTTAATTCACTTTACAGACAAATGTAAAATTTTTAAAGGGTCATATTACAAATAATTGATAAATTATTTTCTTCCGTTATTAGTGACATGACCCTATAACAATTGCAAATTTTTGTAAAGTGAGAAAAATATCCATTCTTTTAACATTTGTAAAATTTGTATAAATCCTATAGTTTTTTAGTTATAAGGCTTTGAAAAATATAAATGGCCATAATTTTGAAATTATACCTATAACGTAGAAACTCGATGCTTTGCAAAAGAATAGTTCCATTAGTCATCATAAACGTAACAAGTTTGAAGTTGGTACCTCAAGTGGTTCCAAAGTTATAGGAAGCTATGTAAAAAATACATACACACCGACAGACGGAAAACAAAGCGAGATAGGGCATATGACCCAAGGAACATGACCACGGAGTTTTGGGTGACAGTTTTGAAAAATCCTGTATATATATATAGTAATTATATATTATAATTAGTTTTTTTCTTCAATAAATAACTACATGATTAGTATATAATGACATTTTCAAGTTAAGGTTCTAATTGCTAAAAGATGCCACGTTATTATTAAACTAGTAGTGACCTCAAATTATGAATGTAATCTGAGTGGTACTCAGAAGTTGCATTTTTGACATTTAACAATGGGAACAAAATTACGTGAAACTTTTTCAACTAAATCTCAACAAGTTCATATAGTTGAATGTAAAAATTACAGTGCAGATAATTCTTCTTCATACAGTAACTTAAATGTACCTATTAGGTTTCTTATCGATTTCCCCTTGGTTTGAAGTGGCATATTATTTTATTTATTGTTTGAAACATCAAGTGAATTCATTCAATATTAATAAAAGTAGTTTTAAATAGAAAGTGTTAAAAGTATAAAACTAAAAGTGAATAATTAGGATAAACAATTAATTGACAATCAACTAAATCTCAATAAATCATTCGTTTAGTTGAATGTAGAAATATGCAGAGAAATCTTCTTCATACAGTCTACCAATCAGGTTTCTAATCGATTTCCCTTCAGTTTGAAATGTCGTATTATTTAATTTATTGTTTGAAACATCAAGTAAATTCCTTCACTGTTAATCAAATCAGTTTTATAGAGAAAGTGTTAAAAATATCAAACTAAATGAATAACGAAGACAAACAATAAATTGTCACTAGCAGTGAAATTTCACGATTTCAGCTGTCCTCTGGTTTTATAGTTGTCTCTGAAAATACATCAAGTAATTAATATTTTACTTTAAAAACCACTGATTGTTAAAGGTAACTCAAAATGTTACAAATATGTTGATTCTGTTGAAGATATTGTTGATTAATAAAATAATACAATCCATTAAAAAAAGTTATTCCACCTTTGTAAGAACCCAGTGATATTTTTATTGAACCTTACCAAAATTAATTAATTGCAGCCCTTTATATATTTCCAACAACCCTAAGGTTACTGTAATATTTATAATGTAAGACACACTTATGCCCACACAGAATAGTTAACCGCTACGCTTAATTACGTTAAGGCTGTTCGCACTGAAAATAAGGCTAAAATAATTGAAACTAGTTTGTTTTCCTATGCTTAGCCAACACACCAAGACTCATTTACATAGATATTTACATAGATTAGGTTTTCTATTCTGATACCATTGGTGTGACTAAACTTTTGAAATATACAGGCTGAGTTTTAATTGTCCCCCCCCCAACCTTTTTCTACATTTTTTCAAATATCAATCCCAGACCACTTCCAAACATTGTTGGGTAGTAAGTACTTCATTTTGACAAGGTGGACATTTCCGGCCACCATCTTGGATCCGCCATATTGGATGCAAAATATTTTTCTCAAATGTAAATGTGGGGTTGTGACCCATTATTTCGAACCAGTACAAATGTACCCTGATTGCAATGCCGCATTTTAAAATCTTGATCTATTCCAAAGTTATGAGGACTTTTAAAATCTATTTTTAGCCCATTTTAACATTGTGCATGTACAATCTAAGACCATAAACTCAAAATAGTGTTAGATAAAGATAAGTATACACTACCAGTCATTGTCGACCTATTTTCACTTGGTAATGACTAATGTATGTTTTTCGGCCGCCATCTTGGATCCGCCATTTTGAAATGTGATAAATTATTTTTAATATAAAGGGGGTGGTGAGACCCATCATTTCGAACTACTTTTTTAAGCTAAACTCAATACCTTAATCCGTGTTTTGTTATCAACTTTTATTTATGAAATATTGCAACTTTTTTTGTTAAAAATGTCAATATTTCAAAATCAAAATATGAAAATTAAAAACGGATGTTTCTTAACATATTTATATGAAAATATACAATTTACCCCAACTAAGCATTTTAATTATTCAAAATGAAGCATTTCATAGGAGGATTCATTTATGCGTGATTTTCCTCAAAATTAGCGCAAGGCACATATTATTTGGTTATTTCTTTTTAGTTAAGTATAGATAAATTATATGCTTACTTACTTTTACAGCACATTGATCGCATTTTTCCATAACACGCTTTCACCCCGCCTACCACAGCCTTAGATATGTAACAGACACAATGACAAGCAGTTTTTGCTACTTTCCACGCTCCTTCTCTTAGCTGCGTCGTTCTCGTCATGTTCGCATTCATACTTTCCAATCTCTCTTTGTTCTTTTCTTGAATCGTTGTTTCAACTTCTTGGGTTAGATTCAACTGCTTCTTCACATGGTGCAAATCGAGTTCAATCTCTCTAACGTTTTCCCTCAGTAAATTCAATTCTTCTTTAACCAGCCTACCTTCCAAATTCGTTGATTCCATCAGTCCTGCATTGCACACTGCCAAGAGATTACCTGTTCACATTTAGTTATTTTTATTTAGGACTATTTAAAAGAAAAGTTAGTAATATAGTTTAAGTAATATAGTTAAACACCCAAGGCTTTATTGCGATTAGAACGGGTTAGATTCGAGTAAAAAATAAATTATGAGTTATAATCTTGGCTGCATTGTAAATCAAAAATTTTACTATAAGAGCTATTTTTGGGCAATTGAATATTAGAAACAACTTAATTTTAAATTTTGCCTTTTAAAATAAACCATTTAACAAATCTTTAAATCATAAATAATGTCATTCCAAAAACTAATGTCAAAATGTATTTAAAGTTCTTATCTCATGTACACCATTCCTTATAAAATTAAATATTCTAATTACCTTTTTTGGTGTGCTATACATAACTTTCAATGCGAAGGTGCTGGAATCTTTCCTATCAAATATTAATTATTCAGTATCTTCTTAAAACAAAACAGAAACATCGTTTAAGTTGAAAACTGTTGAGTAAAATTAATATAGCCTAAATATATCTACCACTTAATTAGACAAAATATTGTTATTGTCAGACAATCAACCAGTACCATACAGAAAAGGTATGGTTTTTACGACATAAAGGATCATTCTTTGCTGAAGAAGAATAATTTTAATTTAAAAAAGAAAACTGTTTAGCATAATTTGGTACTCACCAAGATAGTAAATGACTATGACTATCATTTCACGTTTGTTAAACTGATATGAAAGAAAAAGGTTAGCCGATGGGAGCTTGCAAATAATGTTTTGTAAACACAACGGCGATCTGGAGTCGGAATGATATAATAGTGCTTCTATGAGTTATGTTTGCTGACTCTGCTATGCCAACTCATCTAGAGACATTGCACTTTAATTTAATGTTTGTTTAATGTACTTGAAGAAGATGGCTTTTAAAGTGTTTCTCTAATGGAACTTTTAAAAACTCATACAACAGATTAATAAATAAGTTTTAGTCTAGTAATTGACAAATACACAGTGTTTCTGAACACAATGTTAATTAAGTTATTATTGATTTTTTGTTGTTGTAAAAAAATTTACTTTGTTGGTTTGTATTGTTTTTCAATAAATTCATTTCCTCTTTTAGTAACATTATTTTTCCTACAGTCACCCGACAAAGTTGGCTTCCTTGTACTGTTTATAGTACAGAAAGCTGCTAATTGCTGCATATTTATACTTTGCCGTACGGTTTATACTTTGCCGCACGGTTTATACTTTGCCGCACATCAGGATTCCAACGAAACAACACAAAACAGCGTGGTTCTATTATGAACGTAATCCGTGTACGCTTGGAAATAGGTTGGCAACACTTAAAGATAATAATACTATGAGCAGCTGATTGACTATTATAACTACGATTTAACCTGTCATTTCGTGTTTATAGTTTCGGTATTTCTGAACTTTCTAGAATTTTCTTTTAAACGTTTTTAAAAAATTCCTACGATCTTAATAAACAAGAAAATACCATTCAAGCATTTTTTTTTGGCGCGGAAACCACTTCAAATTACAAAAACATACGGAACTATATTCTCAAAACGCGGAGCACATTTCTTGCATAGGAAAAATAGCGGAGTGATACGGACCGCTGGTACTACTTTCTCTAGGGCACCATTTGTGTTGCTAGCTGAACCTAAAAACTTGTTGTATAGTGTTTGAAAGACTAATTATTTATATGCTTTATAGTAACTGTAGGAAAAATATAATGTGTAACACGAGTGAAAAAGGCCTTTGCTGCACTCGAGATCATTCCGCACTCGCCTGCGGCTCGTGCGTAAACATTGCTCTCGTGTGCAGCAAAGTGCCACTTTCACCACTAGTTACACAAATAACTATTGTTTATGAGCATACATATAGATCACAGTCAGATTTTTTAATGTCTGGATGTTTAAACTTGAAACATTCAAATTTGCATAAACAAAGCTGATTGAACATTTAAATACATACTTAAGTTGTACAATTGAGTAAACATTCACGAAAATGACTAACAGGCCTTGAGAGAGAGTTCAATCTGGTAAGTTCGCTTTTTATTTATTTTTATACAAGAACGAAGGCAAATGAAACTAAAAAAAAGAAGGTGAGATTAAGCCTCAAACGTTTTAGTTCAAGGAACTTATATGGTGTATAAGTTTCCTTACAGCGTTGTGAGTCATGATTCATTCTTGTTTGGTGATACTTATACGTGATAAAACATTAGTACACCTCTTGTAGGGTTCAAGAGTTGGCAGTCAGTATTATTACTTAAGTTTAAAGCTAATCTCTTATTAGTTGGTCATTAATTTGTTTAACTTCGTAAAAAATATCAACAGAATTTACACCAATAAACAAATATGTATGTATGTACTCGTTGAATGGTTGAAAAGGATAGCTGTGTTCGTTACAGGAAAAAGTATGAGTTCTATATATCGATATAAACAATATTTTCACTGTATTAAAATATCTGATAATTTTAAAGATTTTATTAACTTTACAACATTCATCAAAATACTTCATTACGGTTCACCAATCTACAACTTTAATGTATTAATAATTATAAATCATAGGGTAGCAGCCTTTATTCTAAGACCGAGGATTATAATAAGGCTATTTAGTATTGTAAGACTGCTAAAGTTGTATTAACATTGTAGAATTGAATGTCCCAAATAACTTGATTACTCTGTTTAACACTATCTTTAAATTGAACGAAAACTATTTACGAGACCTACGTAGACAGTTCTACACACTAATGTCATTAAATTATTAAATACAAGACCATCTACACATCTATAAAAAAAACATACAATTTGTGAAGTATCGAACATTATTGAAAAAAATTAAAGGTTACGTTGTCATTTCAAACTATGTACAAGGCGACATACACATTAATCACTTATCCTTGATTAACCTTGTGACTTTCAGTTTAGTAATCGAACTTACCGCCAAGTTAGTTCCTTGATGAGACCCAAAGGACCAATCACTGAAGGAGAGAAGATACAACGTGATTCTAACTCGCTTCTACTACAACCTGGATTATGATAGTGAATCGTCGTTGTATTACAAAGCACGTAATTTGTGTTTGAGATTACTTTGTGATTTTTATGCTTTATTCAAAGACATTAATTACGAACAATTTTTTTATGAAATATATTTTACTGCTTAGAGACTTATAGAAAGCTTTGTGTATGTTTCTAGTGATAATAGAATTAAGTTTGAAATTTAGAAATAGTATATTGCAAAAACAAGTGTTTTTTTCCAGAAGTCTTCACCTAAACATTTTTAAAGTAACAAGGTATACCGAGTAACTAACAACAAAAATATCTAAAATACTAAACGCTCCTAAAGACTATCATCAGGCAAATGAAATAAAGAGAGAGATATAGTTATTAACTATCTATGAATACTGACTACAACAAATTCATTTTTATGACGGAAATGTCCTTTAGCTAGTGTTCTGAGAGGCAAATCATATAAGTCACGTAAATATTGAGTGAGTTAGTTTTAGTTCAACTACCTCTTCTAAGTAGTTGACAAAAGTATATGCCGTCTATGGGTAGAGTGGGGGAATTGGGACCCATGTTTTTATTTTTTTCAATTATATGTTTATTGCCAGAGAAAAATCAAAATATGATCATGCACAAGGTTTCCAACTGAAATTTGTCTCCTTATCACATGTTTTTCATTTTTTTTTTATAATTTTTACTATGAAAAAAAATAATAATTTGGAACCCAATTACCCCACATGGGCATAAATGGGATCTATGCTTATAAACCCATAAGCACCTAATATTAATTTGTGGGGGTAATAGGGTTCTAAAAATGAAAACATAATAAACAAAATGCAACATACTTTAATTGAAAAAAAAATTTAGGACATTACAACAGTTCAACCTATTTTTTCCAAAACATTACACTTTTTTCTTAATAAAATATGAAAAATTAACCAGAGCAGATAACAGCCAGAAAATATTGATTTAAACTGTTAAAGACATGTATAGTTAAATTAAAAAAAAAACTACAAGTATATTTTATTTCGAACTTTTTTCTGGTCATATGCAAACTTTCCGGAAATTCGCTTTTTCAGCCGAAAGAATTTCTAATAAATGGTAGTTATCAGTCCAAATATAAGTTAAAATAGGCCAATTATGGGCTTAGCTCACTCTTCTAGGCCCTAGTTTCTTATCAGTTTCTTATTAGAGACGAAGACGAGAACTTAAAAAGATCGAAAGCTGCAAAACCATTTCGGTTCGTGGTACGAACGCTATTTTTCACCACACTATACCACTATTCACCACAATAATAATGCACACTGTCAACACAAGTACAACTTTAAGGTTATGTGAAGAAATAATTTGAGGAATCAGCAAAAATAATAATAAACAGTTGCTAGGCAGCGGTGACAATAAAACAATTCTATTGCAATGCTATGGATACTGATTGTGTATTTAATACGCATTCAATTCATTTTTTAAGAAAGTAAGCGGACGGCTGATTTTGCGCCCTAGGGTAAAGGCCTGCTCGGTCCCCAAATGACGATGACAGCTGGCATGGTAACGTAACTGTAAGTTTTCTTTTCAAGCAGGTGCATTAAACATAAATGTATTGCTATCTTAAAAAACAAACGACGAACGAAATCTAATAAATAGTAATAAATTGTAATCAATAACAACACTTGGATATATTTTTAGCAAATTTCCCATACAGAGAATAAGTCGTTTATCAGGGTCTTTTTCAAGTTTTAGTCCTTCTTTGTAACGAATACACGTGGAACAGGCGTCTGTTACTGGTATCCCAAAACCAATATTGTACTCCAATGTAAATACATTGCGAAAAAAAAAATCTCTTTACTTTGAGATGATCAGGGGATATATCATTATAAATTTTAAACAATTTAGAAATGCTAAGGTTACCTGGAAGATACTGTCTTACAATGGATTTTCCACGGCAGTAATGAGCCTCACTGGAGTGTTGAAGTTGTCCAATGAAGTTTCGAACAGATTCCTTGTCTGCAAACTTAGGAGTCATCCTATCACCACCACGAGTTTCTTTAGGCATCTCTCCAGTTTGTAAGTGTTTACGAGCAACTCTTTGGACCCGGTCTTTGGAAATATTAAGGATTCCTAAAAAGGCTTTCTGACACACCTGTAAACGAAAGGTTTTACACTGCTTCACTGTCACAAAGTAGTTGGAAACACATTTACTTTTGTTCCCTCCAATATTCTTACATTCTGGATCTTTTGCTTCGATATACTTTAGGATGAAACAGTCTTGAACAATTTTATTACTTCTTTTATAGAATTTGCTATGAAAACCCTTGATGTCTTCCATTTTCAGGGTTTTACGTCGAAATGTTTTCTTTCCACGATGATCACAAAATGTCGGGTACTGCGGCAATCCTTTGGCCTGATGCCTGAAACAAACATACCATGCTAGGATTTTGCTGGAGTTAAATTTCTCAAATTCTTTTTTTAAACACTGTAATATTAATCACAATAATTAAATAAAAGTAACAGACAAACCAAAGCCATGAGACCTCACAATGTTGTGAGGTTAAGTTTAAGTTTAAGATTTCATAGTGGCTTACCTTTTGATTTTTTTTTTGTTTCTTGCCCATTCTTCAGGCCTAGACTTTTTCCTTCTGCCTTTTCCTTTCGTCGATGGTTTAATTAAGTTATCTATTCTAGGAAAACTTTAATTAATGTTAAAATCATTAACACAAACATCAAACTCCACACTACTAATAGGTTAGAGCAGTCTGCTAAGTTGCGCTGTTTTGTTTGATCACATG